CAGGTGCGCCCGGGGCAGCGGGACCGCGGGCGCCTGGGGAAGGGGGTCCTCAGCGGGGAGCGTAGGCTCTGGGGTGCCGCACTGGTGGCACAGGGGTCGTGCTGGGGTCCCAGGAGGGGCGAGTAGGGTCTACGTGCTCGCAGGTGGTGGGGCTGGGACATGGTCCGTGGTTGGGGGTCTTGGCAGGGGTGGTAGAGAGGGGGAAATGGATCTGTGCCAGGGGCAGGAATGAAATGGGGTTGGGGGAGCGTGCAGGTGTGCGCAAGGAGTTAAGGTGGGGGAAGGCAATGCTGGGATAGGGGAGGGATTAGACAAGGGGCACCCCTGTGCCTATGAGGTGATGCTGGGGTGAGCATCAGGCTGAGGCCAACAGAGAGCTGGGTGGTGCCAGGAGGGCTCCAGCCAGGCTGGGACTACCCGGGGCCCCAATGCTGCGCAGGGCAAGCGCTGTGTCTTGGCTGTCTCATGCAACCGGGGCTGCCTCATGCACTGGGGGCCAGGCCTTGGTGAGGGTGGCCTGTGCAGGGTGCCCCCCACCTGCAGGATGCCTGACAGTGCATCCCGTGCCACGATGCGGCGGGCCCGGGACAGCACAGGGCAAAGAACAAGCTCACGTTGTCCCAGCACCCCCAACCAGCCCAGTCTGCTGCAACTGGGGCCACGTTTTTCGGGGGTAAAAGCGGTCAGGCAGGTGTTGGGCCAGATGGCACCTAGGAAGGCAGCGGAGAAGGAGGAGGCAGAGGTGTTTGTTTTCTTCTGTCAACACTTCCTCATTCGTCGGATAAAGCAAGGGCTGGTTTTGCTGGCAGGGAGCCGGGTGACATCTCCAGCACCCTGGAGCTCCAACCAGCAGCGCCTGGGAGGATCGCGCAGGCCCAGGGCAGTGCTCCTGGGGAAGGGGCTGTCGCAGGGAGCTGGAGCCGGCACAGGAGGACCCTGCTGCTCCCAGCACACCCCAGCCTTGCGGCTCCCCGCAGGCTCTGGAGCTGCTTTTCCTGGGAGCTCGGACTCCTCGCTGCTCCCGAGGCCTGTGCTGCAGATGCTCACAGGCTGCTTTAAGCCCGAGCGGCGGCCGCCCGCAGCCCCACACGACGCGTTCGCTCCGCAAGCCGCCTGCAGCGCCCGCGCCGGGGCGGCCGTCCCTCCCCCGCTCCCTGCCGCCCCCCGCGAGGGC